TCCCACTTGTGAGTGTGAGTGCACACACACTCTCTCTCTCTCAAAAAATATTTTTTTAAAAAACATATATAAAGACCCATAACAAAGAATTATTAACCACAACACGGGAGTGGAACAACAAGTGATTGACCAGTGGAAACTAAATATACAAGGAGATATAAGCAGATAAATGGAGCTGTCACAATCCCTATGACTGAGATAGAGGACCTGAGGAAAAGCCCCCCAGAAAACCAGACCTTGCTGGAGAGAATGAATTCTATGGTTCCTGGGTGTCAGAGAAGTCACTGTGGTGTAGTGTTGGTGGAACTTGCTAGAAAGCACCCTGCCTAGGGAACCTGTTCAAAAAGAGGTGTTTTGTGGAAGACCCTCCATGGCAAAATCATCTGAGGTGGTTGCCAGGAAAAGCTGGAGCTGCTGACCCGTTGTAGAAGCTGGATGCTGAAGAAGCCTTGTGCAATGCAGAAACTTGCTGAGCAAGCACACTGCAACCAGAATGGAAAGCTCCTTCCTTCCATCTCTCCAGTGCCCTCTACTGACATAGCTTAATAATCTGTACTACACATAAAGAATACATTTTATTTTTTTATTTTTTATTAAAAAAATTTTTTTTAACGTTTTATTTATTTTTGAGACAGGGAGAGACAGAGAATGAACAGGGGAGGGTCAGAGAGAGGGAGACACAGAATCTGAAACAGGCTCCAGGCTCTGAGCTGTCAGCACAGAGCCTGATGCGGGGCTTGAACTCACGGACCGTGAGATCATGACCTGAGCTGAAGTCGGCTGCTTAACCAACTGAGCCACCCAGGCACCCCAAAGGATACATTTTAAAGGACTCATTTTCAGAGGCAAATAAGATAGTATTTGGAGCTGAGAAGCAATAAATAGAACACTGGCACATTTTCTATCTTCAAGAGTTATCATGGGGGACCCACCTGGGTGGCTCAATTTGTTGAGCATCTAATTCTTGATTTTGGCTCAGGTCATGATCCCAGGGTCGTCGGATTGAGCCCTGTGTTGGGCTCTGCGCTGAGTATGGAGCCTGCTTAAGATTCTCTCTCTCTCTCTCTCTCTCTCTCTCTCTCTCTCTCTCTTCCTCTGCCCCCTTCCCCTGCTCACACTCTCTCTCTTTCTCCTAAAAAGAAAAAAGTTATTATGGGGACTTCCTAGGAAGATGGAGGAGTAGGAAGACCTTAAGCTCACTTCATACTGTGGATACAACTAGATAACACATCAGTGTAAATAACCTAGAAAACAACCCAGGGACATAGTCGGTTAAGAATCCGACTTCAGCTTAGGTCATGATCTCATGGTTCATGGGCTCAAGCCCCATGTTTGGCTCTGTGCTGACAGCCCAGAACCTAGAGACTGCTTTAGATTCTGTATCTCCCTCTCTCTGTGTTCCTCCCCAACCTGTGCTCTGTCTCTCTGTCTCTCAAAAATAAGTATTTTTAAAAAATTATAAAGAAAACAACCCAAAGACTAGTAAAATAGACAATCCCTAGCTAAATGTAGAGAAGAAGCCACATTGAAGAGGGCAGGAAGGGCAGAGAAAGGGTGGGGAGCTAAACAGACCTGTGGGACTGTCTGTGGGGGAGAGTGAGCCGTGGTGCAGAGAGGGAAGGAAATAGACTCTAACACCAGGGAGCCCACACAGGGAACATGAATCTCCATAACATTTGGCTTTGAAAACCAGAGGGACTGAATTTTTCAAGTTCTTACAATCAGCAAGGTTTAAAACCTGGAACTTTAAAAATCACTGCAGGGCACCTGGGTGGCTGAGTCAGTTAAGTGTCTGACTGTTGATTTTGGTTCAGGTCATGATCTCACTCAATTGTGAAATCAAGCCTGCATCAGGCTCAGCGCTGACAACACAGAGGCTGCTTGGGATTCTCTCTCTCCCTCTCTCTCTGCCCCTCCCCACTCATGTTCTCTCTCAAAATAAATAAATAAACATTAAAAATTTTTTGTTTTAAATCACTGGGTGTATGGGAGAGCCAGCAGTATGAAAGGAAGCTGAGTCTTTGCTCTTACAGAGAGAGCACAACAACCAGTCCATGGAGATACAGCATGGAAGCAGCACTTTGAAAAATGCCTGGGGTATACATGAAGAAGATGTATTGTCTGATCTCAGAGCCTGTGCTAGATGGACAGGGATCATTGGAAAACTTCTCCAGAAACAAAGAAGCTGGCAGGTGCCATTTACCTTCTCTGCCTCCCTCCTTCCCCCTCCCCTCCCCCCCCCCCCCCATAAACACATGGATACCTGCAGGAACCAATCTGGTTCCAACACTCCCTACCTAACTTACTAACAGTGAGCCCTACATCCTGCATTTTCCTATGGACCCACCCCCTCCAACCTGGTCTACCTCTATCCCTGGCAGCTGCAGGTTCCCTCCCACTAGAACCTATGGTGCTGACACCACACACCCTGCACTCTCATTGAACTTAAGTCCAGTGCTACCACATCTCTGGCAAATGCTTAGTCTGACTCAGCTTCAGCCCAAGGTGGCCCCAGAATGGCCCACTAAAAACATAGGGAACAAACCTTGCCCACAACAGGCAAAGAGAGCCACTACAGGACCTCTTTCTTAATAAGTCCAGTACTTTCAAGAGCAGGAGATGTAGCTGACTTTCCTAACACATAGAAACACAGAGATTTAGATAAAATGAGGAGACAGAGGACTATGTCCCAAATGAAAGAAGAGGACAAGCACAGCAAGAGGCCTAAATGGCACAGAAGATAAGTAATGTGACTGATAGAGAATTGAAAGTAATGATCATAAAGATACTCACTGGACTTGAGAAAAGACCCTGAACAAGACATAGAAAATAAGCAAACAAAAAATCAAAGATGAAGAACTCTTAACTCAAAAATACACTGGATGGAATAAATAGCAGATTAGAGGAAGCAGAAGAACAGATCAGTGACCTGAAAGAGTAGTGGAAATCAATCAAGATGAACAGAAGGGAAATAGACTAAGGAACTTCAGTGACCATCAAGCATAATAACATTCACATTACAGGGATCCCAGAAGAAAGAAGGAGAAAAAAGGGTACAGCAAATTTAGTTGAAGAAATAATAGCTGAAAACTTCCCAACCCAAGGAGGTCCATAACAAGACACACAGTAGTTAAAATAGCAAAAAGTAGTGATGATGAGAGAATTTTAACAGCAGCAAGAGAAAAGAAAACAGTTACTTATGAGTGAAACCACATAAGGCTTTAAGCTGATTTTTCAGCAGAAACTTTGCAGGCCAGCATATTAAAAGTGCTGAAAGAATAACACCTGCAGCCAACAATGCTCTATCCAGCAAGGAAACCATTCAGAAAGGAAGGAGAGATAAAGAGTTTCCCAGATGAACAAAAGTTAAAGGAAATCATGACCAGTATAGCAGCCCTACAAGAAATGTTAAAGGGGACTCTTCAAGTGCAAAAGAAAGACCAAAAGTAGGAGTGAGAAAAGTGGGAAGCACAAAAACAGTTAGATTAAGTATATCTCTAAAAATGAGTCAAGAGACTTACAAGATAAAAGGATGTAAAATATGACACCATATACCTAAAATGTGGCAAGGAGAAGAGTAAAGATTGGTTTCGGACATGAGCAACCATCAACTTAATATAGATTAAGTTGCTATGTGTTATATGCATAACATATCATATATAAACCTAACGGTAACCAAAACCCAAAAACCAGTAATAGATATGCACAAATATAAAGAGAAAGAAATCCAAGTATATGACTGAAGAAAGCCAATAAACTGTGCGAGACAAAGAGAAGAAAAATCTACAAAACAGAAAAACTACAAAACAACCATAAAACAAGTAACAAAATGATACAACTACATACCTATCAACGATTACTTTGAATGTAAATGGACTAAAAGCTCCATCAAAAGACAATGGGTGATGGAATGGATAAAAAAAAAAAAAAAAAAAAACAATCAAAAAGACCCATCTATATGCTACCTATAAGAGACTCATTTCAGACCTAAAGACAAGTGTAGATTAAAAGCGAAAGGATGGAAAACCATTTATCATGCAAATGGAAGTGGAACAAAAGCTGGGGTAACAATATTTGTACCAAACTAAATAAACTTTAAAACAAAGACTGTAATAAGAGACAAAAAAGGACACTATATAATCATAAAGGGAATGATCCAACAAAACAACAATCCAACAATTACAACAAAAGATGTAACAATTGTAAATATTTATGCAACCAATATGGGAGCACCCAAATACATAAAGCAGCTAATAATAAACATAAAGAAAATAATCAATAGTAATACAAAAATAATAGGGGCCTTTAACACCCCAAAGATCATCCAAACAGTAAATCAACAAGGAAATAGTGGCTTGAATGACAAATGGGACCAGATGGATCTAGCAGATATATTCAGAATATTCCATGCTAAAACAGCAGAATATATACTCTTTTCAAGTGCACATGGAACATTTTCCAGAATAGATCACATGTTTAGGCCAAAACCAAGTCTCAACAAATTCAAAGAGATTGAAGTCATACTATGCATCTTTTCTGGCCACAACACTTTGAAACTAGAAATTAACTCATAAGAAAAAATGTGTAAAGAACACAAATGCATGGAGGTTAAACAACATGCTACTGAACAATGAATGGATCAACTAAGAAATCAAAGAGGAAATCACAAAATACATGGAGACCAAAGAAAATGAAAACACAAAGGTCTAAAACCTTTTGGATGTAGCAAAAGCAGTTCCAAGAGGGAAGTTTATACCAATACAGGTCTACCTCAAAAGCAAGAAAAATCTCAAATAAACAACCCATCCTTCATATAAAAAGGCTAGAAAAAGAAGAACAAACAGTCCAGAACCAGTAGAAGGAAGGAAATAATTAGGAAATAATCTAAAAGATTAAAGCAAAAATACAAGAATTAGAAACTAAAAAAAGAAAACCAATAGAAGAGATCAATGAAACCAGGAGCTGGTTTTTTGAAAAAATCAACAAAATTGAGCTCTCCACCCAACGGCCACCCTGCCACCATCATGGACACAAGCTGTGTGCAGCCCTTCAAGCTGGCCAGGGTCACCAAGGTGCTGGGCAGGACCGGTTCTCAGGGTCAGTGCACACAGGTGCGTGTGGAGTTCATGGACTACATGAGCTACTCTATCTTCTGCAATTTGAAAGGCCCCAAGCATGAGGGCAACATTCTCACCCTTTTGGAGTCAGAGCAAGAAGTTCGGAGGTTGTGCTGAACTTGTGGCTAGGTCCTTGATGTCTGGATCAACCATTCAGCTCACAGGGATGATCTGTAATTGTTAATAAAGTATTTATACTGTATGTTTAAAAAAAAAGCAAAGAAAAGATCAACAAAATTGATAGACCTTTAGCCATGCTCATAAAAGAGAGAGAGAGAGAGAGAGAGAGAGAGAGAGAAGACCCAAATAAACAAAATCAGATATGAAGGAGGAGAAATAATAACTAACACCACATAAATACAAAGGAATATAAGAGAATATTATGGAAAGTTATATGTTAACAAATTGGACAACCTAGAAGAAATGGATACATTCCTAGAAACATATAATCTCCCAAAACTGAATCAGGAAGAAATGGAAAATTTGAACAGACCAACTACAAGCAATGAAATTGAATCAGTAATTTAGAAACTCCCAACAAACAAAAGTCCAAGGTCAAATGGTTTCACAGGTAAACTCTACCAAACTATTAAAGGAGAGTTAATACCTATTCTTCTCAAATGATTCCAAAAATAGAAGAAAAAGGAAAGCTTCCAAATTCATTCTATGAGGCCAGCATTACCCTGATTCCAAAATCAGATAAAGACACACACACACACACACACACACACACACACACACACACAGAACTACAGGCCAATATCTATGATGAACATAGATGCAAAATTCCTCAACAAAATACTAGCAAAGCAAATCCAACAATACATTAAAATAACCATTCACCAGGATCAAGTGGGATTTACTCCTGGGATGCAAGCGTGGTTCAATATGAACAAATCAATCAACATGATACATCACATCAACAAGAGGAGGATAAAAACCACATGGTAGGGGCGCCTGGGTGGCGCAGTCGGTTAAGCGTCTGACTTCAGCCAGGTCACGATCTCGCGGTCCGTGAGTTCGAGCCCCGCGTCAGGCTCTGGGCTGATGGCTCAGAGCCTGGAGCCTGTTTCCGATTCTGTGTCTCCCTCTCTCTCTGCCCCTCCCCCGTTCATGCTCTGTCTCTCTCTGTCCCAAAAATAAATAAACGTTGAAAAAAAAATTAAAAAAAAAAAAAAACACATGATAATTTTAATGGATGCAGAAAAAGCATTTAACAAGAAGCAAATTATTCTCTAAGCTTACTTTTTAAAAAAAATTACTTTTTTTTTACTAACAATTTAATATGCCCTAGAAAGGATCTTAGTTCCATTATTTGAATAATTTGTCTTTTGGTAAGAAATTGGATTTTATAAGAGATACAAGATGATATTTTATATATTAAGCCTAATATATATATTTTTATTTTTAATATAAAACTGTCAACAAACGATGTTGAGTTGAGATTTGGTAGGATAGCATCGAAAGTTCTGTTCTAGGGTCTGGGGCTGGGCTGGAGCTAAGAGGGAGAGCACCTGCCCCAGCTCTGAGCCCCACCCATGGTGCAAGACAACAACTCCTGGAAGATCCAGTTCATAGTCCTGCTGCTGGAGTTGCCCATTGACCCTAAGCTGGTAGAGCAGATTCTCAGGCACTGCCCCACCCCTGCCACCCTCATGCTGACCAGTGACCAGTCATCCCCAGAGATAGATGAAGACTGGATCCCCAACTTTCCTCTCAAGTCCATTTTGGCCATCTCTCCACAGCATTGGAAGAAGGTGAGGAGGACCACACCCACAATGAAAAATCCATCCCTAAAACTCAGGAGAGGGGCAGAGAGAAACCCATCACAGAGGAACCCTCAACCCATATATCACCATTGGAGTCCCAGAGAGCCAACTTGATCTCAGAGTGAAGAAGGTATTCCAGAATCAAGGCTGCAGTTGGGAATGCAGACACTGGATTTGTTTCTTTTTCTTCACTTTTGGGAAAAATCTTATTTTTAAAAAGTGATAAATTTGGTGCTAAAAACAACAACAAAACCAACCAAACAACAACGAAAAGTTCTGTTCTGATCATGGAAATCTTGAATTACAGAAACACAAGTATGGGGTTCTCCTCTGTGGGGTAGGGTTATGAAGTTGCTACAACAGTATTTGGTTATATACAGAGAAAATAATGATAATTCATAATTAGTTAATAAGTAAAAAATATTGAGTGGTTTCTGCTAGCCACAGTGATTTATCATGTGTAGCAACATAGACTTAAAGTCTAATATGAGATCTGAGGCTAGTTTGATGTATTTGTTGAAGCTTGTAATTGCTCTGGGACAAGGAGGTGTATTTATTTTGTTTCTCTACTGCCCTCCCCCAACAACTCCATCCACCTGCTCCATATTTTACTTTTTTTTTTTAATGTTTATTTATTTTTGAAAGACAGCGAGAGACAGAGCATGAGTGGGAGAGGGGCAGAGAGAGAGGGAGACACAGAATCCAAAGCAGACTCCAGGCTCTGAGCTGTCAGCACAAAGCCTGACGTGGGGCTTGAGCCCCTGAACCATGAGATCATGACCCAAGCTGAAGTCAGATGCTCAACCAACTGAGCCACCCAGGTGCCCCTTGCCTCTTCTTTAAGGGATAGGTTTTATAGGCAATGTTTTTCTAATGAGTTAAGATCCATAGAGCATGGCCCAACATGTACATGCTTGCTTGTACAAAAAGGAAGATTTATATAAATCAAGGAAAAAAATCAATCTGTAATCTTATAGGCTCTGCTCCAAGTTAAAATGCCTAGTCTGTGGAGTCTTTCATCCATAGGAATTCTGGAACCATAGCTATTTGGGGGGTAGTTTCCTAAATTATATATAGTATATGAATTCTCATATCAAGATGTACTATAATCTGATTGTGTATAAGAGCTGCTGTATATTTCTCTCTAAAAGTAAATCTTATTTATTACGTTTGTAAGTGTTTTGATTAGAGATCCCAAAGACCACCTCCAGGTACAATGATTCACTAGGATGACTCATAGGCTAAAGAGTATAGGCTAAAGAGTATAGGCAATATACTGTTTAGAACAAAATCAGTAAAGAGAAAAGGCACCAGGACATATTCTTGGAGAAACTGGACGCAAGCTTCCAAGGGTCCTCTCCCAGTGAAGTTACACAAGACATGCTTAATTCTCGTAGCAATGAGTTGTGACAAACATGTGCCCTGTTGCCAAACATGGAAGTTCATTAAAGATTCAGTGCCTGGGGTTCTACTGGGGGCTAATCGTGTAGGCACCCTCTACCTGGCACATACCCAAATTCCACACTCTCAAAAAGAAGAGCAAGTATTCAGTAAAAAGCATATTATTCATATAAAAAATTCAGTAAGCCACCTTTATCAGTTAATGTTGGGAACCTTCCCAAAACCTAAGTTCCCAGATACCAGCTAAGAGCCAATCTTGCAAATGTGCCTTTTCAAGGATAGCAGTTCAGGCCTGCTATGTTGACTATTTTCTGTACGATACTGTACCACAGAGAATAAAGAATATTCTTCTGATAATGATCTCAAAATAACAATTATAGCTGAGACATTGAATTGTTAAAGATTTTGACTACTTGAGTGGTTCTATTAAACCAAAGAAAATAAAGTTTATCTCTCCTCAATTCTTTCATAATTTACTGTATATGTTCAACTTTATCTTTTTTTTTTTTTTAAACAATCTGGCACTGTCATTTTATGTTAATGAAAATTGTTTTCTTCTGGTGCCTGGGTGGCTTAGTTGGTTGAGCGTCCATCTCTTTATTTCAGCTCAGGTCATGATCCCAGAGTCCTGGGATCCAGCCCCCATCAGGCTCTGCACTGATCATGGGGCATTCTTAGGATTCTCTCTCTCTCTCTCTCTCTCTCTCTCTCTCTCTCTCTCTCTCTCTTTTCCTGCTCTCTCTTTTCTCCACTGCTCTCTCTCTCAAACTAAAATAGTCCTAGGATCCAGCCCGCCCCCACCCGACCATGCCATCAGGTTCTGCATTGAGCATGGGGCATTTTTAGGATTCTCTCTTCCTCTGTCCCTCTCCCGCTTTCTCTCTTAAGCTAAAATAATAAATGTTTTTTTGTTCTTTTCTCATGAAAAGTCCATTTGTCTTTCTTTTTCCTTTTCAGACAATTTTAAATTTTTGCTCTGCTATAGAGGTGAAACTAATGTTAGATAGAGTGATAAACAGGAAAGCAGTTTTTTTTCCCCTTGGGAATTGGAAAAAGGACTGGGGATTGTTGAGTGCTCTTGTGTACCTTGCAGCTACCTGTATCACTGGACAGATTTGTGGACAGTTGTCCTGTTTTCACACCAGTGTGGTATATAGTTTGTTTAATGGCGCTTCTGCTCATTACATTTATAAATATTCTTGTCTATAGGCTCCCACATCTTAGAAAACAGAGATGTTTTGGGTTATTTCACCTTGAGAGCCATAGATGTATTGATTTCTTTTTGTTTTTAATGTTTATTTATTTATTTTTGAGAGAAAGAGAGAGGAGAGTGACTCAGGGCTTGATCCCAGGAACTGTGAGATCATGACCTGAGCCAAAATCAAAAGTTAGATGCTCAACTGACTGAGTCACCCAGGTGCCCTTATAGATTGTTTTTAAAGCTATCTCAAAATATTGAGCCACAGATTATTTTCTAAACTGGTAATCTCACACATTCAAATTAATTTATTTTTTATTAAGTCCTCTAATTTAGGTGTAAGCCCACTTATAAAAATAGAAGACAAGCCTCCTTTCACTTCAGATACTGAATCTAAAATAGAGTACTGTTTGAAAGTTTCTTGAAGTATATTTTGTATTTTTACTTAACTTTTTAAATCTTTATGTAGTCTATCTTTAAAAGAAGGCTTCTATAATTGCTTTACGTAGTGTATTTTTTTTTCAAATTTATTTATTTATTTTGAGAGAGAAAGGGAGAAAGTGCATGTATAAGCATAAGTTGGGGAGGTTAGAGAGAGAGGAGAGAGAGAATTCCAAGCAGGCCCCACATGCTGTCAGCACAAAGCCTGACACAAGGCTTGAACCCACGAACCTCAAGACCATGACCTGAGCCAAAATCAAGAGTTGGGTGCTCAACCAACTTAGCCAGCTAGGCACTTCATTTTTTTTCAATTTTTTTTATTG